GGAGGGATCCGGCGCGCGGCTTCGCCTCGCGGCCGCGGGTGGAGGTCCCGCGCTCCTCCACCGCGTCGGGTTCGGCCAGGGGGGAGAGGGTCTGGGGCGGTCGCCGGAAGTGGGCAGAGAGGCTGATCGGGCGGATCTGGCCGTTGCAGAAGAGCTCTTCGGCGGAGGTCATGTGCTCCACGGCGGGGAAGCCGAACTCGAATGGCGCGCCGGCGTCGGAGGCGGGGGGGCGGGGACGGCGAGGGGAGGTGGAGATGGCGAAGTGAGTTGGGCTGGCCGGCGCGCTGTAGTAGAAGGCGGGGCGGCCGGGGCTGGAAGGCGCGGTGGCGGAGGGGGTGGAGCAATAGATGTCGTACTGCTCCATCATTTTTGTTTGCTTTGAAAATGGAGCTGAGATGGGATTTTTATGGCAGTTAAGGAAGTTTTTTTTTTTATTTATTTTATTTTTATTTAATGGATTTGCGTTACTAAATGGGCCATGAATCTGGGCGTTTAGAGCACCCACAATGCTTTGGGTCTAATTTTACGTATGTGGCATATAAATAGACTTAAGTTCTAAATGACATGGACAAACTTATGTAAAAAAAACTTAAAAGCTATTCAATGCAAAAATAAAATACTAGGTCTAGCATACATGACAACCAATAAAAATGTTCTAATATATTTCATTTATTAAAAGAAAAATTAAATGAGGAATAAATGATGAGTGGTTGGGTTTGTACTTGGGTCTAAAATAGACCCAACTGTGGACTAGGACTCTTTTTTTTATTGCCACATAAGCTAGACTAGGTCCACTTTTAATTACATTGGGAAACACTTTTTTTATAGACTAAGTCTATTTCCTACATGGCATGTAATTTTTTTCTAAGAGACCCAAAGCATTGTGAGTGCTCTTATAGCGTTTATGCCCTTGCAAATTTATTTATCTTAAAAAAATAATTATACGGGAATAAAAAACATTGTATTAATACTCATGTACAACATGGGTGTTGAGTTAATGAATATGTGTAAAGTTATTTATGCTTAATACCAAAAATAACTCCAGAGCAAAAATAATGTAAAAAACAACATCACGAAGCATAGATTATCGTCATGTCAGCATCCGAAGCGTGAGAATCTGTCATCTATGCTCAACACGTTTTGAATTAATATATAGGGAGGGATAATTGGAGCTCCACATACTCAAACTTATGATTGTATCGACTCGTTAACTCATGGACTTGATCAAAAGAATCGTACCCCTTCTCTGTCTAAAATCGGTTCCCCTTCTCTCTAAAAATCTTATCGCGGCATCAAGTAGAAAATTACGAGGTTTTTTATGCCCCCTCTCTTCTACCGGCAGCTGTTCACGTTTCGCCCCTTCCCCTGGCCACGGGATGAGTCGGAGATGTCCGGTTGCTTCTTCTCCACCGGTCTAGGATCGGTTGGGGATCACCGATGGTGGTTCTTCCACCTCGGCCTCTCCATCCCAGGATGTGTTTGGGGTCCAAGTGGACGGCTTCTCCGACGCAGCTTGTTGGGTTTTCTCTCTCGACGTCGGTTTCTCCCTCGTCTCCTCGCCAAATCAGATTAAGCGCTTGAGTAAGCTCGCAGTTTTGGTTATGTGGTTTCACATTAATTTGCAGTTCTATTGGGTTTTTTTGTTGTGGGGATTCGCTCGTTCCGGTGGGCTACGGTGCGCCCGCAAGAAGTATGAGATGTTATATTCTATTGTTTGTAAGTGTGTTGTTGATTCCTTTTTGGGTTTATTAGTCTCCTTTGTTGATTTTCTTAGTCTCCTAAATGGAGTTTGTCAATTAGTCTCATTATAGAGTTTTTTTTTTTCTTTTTTTTTTTTTTTTTTTT